AATCACCACGTGGAGCTGACGCATTTCTTGACTACTGCCTGGGCTCCACACAGCGCTGCTGCTTTGAATCACCACGTGGAGCCTGACGCCGGGCTCTCTGAGGCGTTTCAAAGCAGCATCAGCCTATGCACTCAGAGTCCCCAGCTGACCCCGGGCTCCATGCGGCGCTGCCAGTTTGAAATGCTGCGGGGAGCTCAGGGCCAGAGGGGGACTTCCCGCAGCGCTTTCGTCTTTGAGGTGCAGCAATAGCTCTGGGGCGGTTTCTACACTTCAAAGGCAGAAGCGCCCTTATCGACTAATCGAAGTCGATGCAAATTGCATTGACTATTCAATTAGCCAATTAATTTGAATTTAACATCCCTATATTGGACTAGCTGGACCAACAGTCTGAACCAGCATGGCCGTTCTTATGTAGCTTACTACATCAAATTCTTAATTTCTACATTATGTTAGTAAGTGGTGAATGATGCAGTTCTTATTTAATAGATTTTATTGGGATTTGTGTCCAGTTGCATTTGGATGGAAACTGAAATGCAATTAAAATGTACAAAAACAGGCCTTTTAAAATTAGTTCTTTAAAAATAGTTTTTAAGTGTGCAAAGATGCATACCAAGTTTATCCAAATCTATTCTGTATTTAACTAAATATTAACTATTGAAAATGAACTGTCTCTGTTCACCATGGGACCAGATTTGCAAAGGCACCTAAAGCTGCAGATAGAAGCCTAGCAGGATTTTTAAAGGCGCCTATATTTTGGTACTTGATAAAATCCTATTCTGCGTCTCATGTCCTTCAAGATCTAGTAGATCTCTTCCTCTCAACCCTGCCTTTATTCCTTGATTTGAACCGGGAAAACGAACTGTTCTGCTTCTTAAACTGCCATCGGGTTCTCAACTTTGAATGAATTAGTCCAAGTGAAGAAAGTATTCTCTCTGCACCCATTGGCTGAGCTGAACCCAGAAGTAATTAAGATAAAAGATTTTCTGCACTTCAGGCACTCAACGTACTTGCATTTGGAAAAAAATTAACAACCAGCATTCACTCCACTGTAACAACTGAAAATATAGATACTTAATGCAGCATGTGACATCGTGATGTTATTTGCGATGCTTGAGTTGAGCTAAAAAATTAAAGCTGTTCCCCATGCATACATTTTATATAGAAGAGTAGCACCCGTTTACTTATCTGGAAGGCAGATGCACCACATTTACTTTATTAATTGATTAATTTCAAATCTAGTTTTGAACAGGTTTACTTTTCTAAAAACAAAATCTCATTTAAATACAGAAATCCTGATCTAAATAAAACGAAGGGATTGATTTAATAAACAATTGTTTACCTTTCCTGGGAAACCTGTCTCTCTCTCAGCCAAAAATCCATGCGCCAATCACTGTAGAAAATAGATTCCAGCCTAGGCATCTGTAGGTGTCTCGGCAACCAATTTATCTGGCCCTTGGCAAGAAACAGTGGTGCATGACCTCCTGTCAGCGTCACGACCCAGTGCTAATCTCAGAGGCACAGTATGGTTTCTAGTGAAGATTCAGTGTGGAGCTACCAAAAAAGGACTGTTCTGAGCCGTAGAGAGGGGAGCTTTTCAGTACAAGGAAGATTGATCATCGGCTAATGAGGGAATTAATACAAGCTTGTCTCAGCTCGGAGTTGTTTCAAATTCACTCTGATTAACCCCCCACGAGTGGATCCTTATTCCACAATAAATCTTTGTCATTTTAAATTCACTTGCTACCTTAGTGAGAAAACATTTCCGTGTGTAGCTAAGTACTTGGACTCTACCTACCCAGCCTTAAATCTGCTAAAAATAATTACATCCCACTGCCTCAGCTCCAAAGAAAGTTTACATAAGAGCAGATTGACAGGGATTTAAATGTGTTCCAAAAATTTAAATACCTCCTTCACATTACTACAAAGCCACCAAATTTAGATCCTACTTTGCCTAGCAAGTGGCTGACTTGAGGCAAAACAATTCACTCTGCATTGTTCTTGTTGCAACTTCAGGCTTAAATAAAACTGGACACAAAAGTCTAATTCAGTGGAGGGCTACCATTGGCCTGAGGGTGACAGATGGCCCACTGGGGTTGTGTGTGCAGCTTGTAAGACATTGTTTCTCAGTGCCCACGAGCAACAAGCCCGCTGGTTTCCATCCACGTCATTTTGTTCCCCACCAGGATTACCAAAGCAACACGCACGTAAAACAAAGGCGGGTGAAGGTGAGTTCTGACCGCACGCTCCGTTGACAGTTGAGAGCTGCACGCTCCCTCTGCAGCCAGTCACAGCACTGCTACGGTTCAGCCAACACTCCCTGCTAACTCTAGGCCAATGGACCCCAACCAGTAGATTGGGATCTACTGGTAGATTTTGGAGCCTTTGACAGGTGATCCTGACAGGTTTGGCCGGGAGGCTGTCAAGTGCTGGCCCTTCATCTGCTGCTCCTGCCCTCTGCCTTGGAGCTGCCCCCCACCCATGGGAGTCTCTTGCTTGCTGCACAGGGTACAGGAAGAAGAGGAGGGGGTGCTGATGTCAGGGTGACCCTCCACCCACCCTGTCTCCCATCTCCACAGAGCAGAGGGAGCAGGGATGGAGGAAGTCTGCTGGCTGCTTTTGGGAGTAGGGGGTGAGCCTGCCTTAGTCCCCTGCACCACCACCCAGAAGCCACCTGTGGTAAGTGGCGCCCAGCTGAAGCCCACATCCGAACCCACAACCAGCCCCAGTCCTGAACCTCTCTTGCACCCTGTGACGGCGCGTCGGGGGTCCCCCGTCTCCTGCACCCCCGGAATGGCACGAACAGACTCCACCAGCCAGTAGAATAGAGGTGGTTTATTGCAACTTCAGGATACAGCACAGCACAGATGTCATCAGGTTACAGGACAGGCCTAGGATGCCTCAGCCCCCCTTGATATGGGGGGAGGTCTTGGCTTCTAAACCCCCCAGCCTGTTGCTGAGGCTGCTTCCTCCATCCTCCCAGACAGAAACTAACCCACCCTCCTCCAGCCCTGCCCCCCAGCCAGGGCAGCATCCACCTTCCTTTGTTCCTCTCCATGGGGGTTAGCTGGTCAGACCGGTTGCGAGATCCCTTTGCATAATGATCCATCCCTGTCCTTCTTAGCTGTGGTACTGGCGGGAGCCAGTGGGGGGTACCACAGACCCATAGAAACCAGCAAGTTCCCCCCCAATACGTCACACACCCCAAACTCCTGCCCTAGCCCTGAGTCCCCCGGCACCCAACCCCCTCTCCGCCCCGGAGCCTGCACCCTGAACCCCCCTGGCTGCTCAACTACCTCAGCTCAGAACCTCTCCCACACTCCAGATCCTTTAGCCCAAGATCAGAGTCCCTATTCCCCCTCCCGCACCCCTGACCTCTGTCCCCATCCCGATAAAACTGAGTGAGAATGGGGGAGGGAGGAAGGGAGGATGGAGTGAGCAGGGGGTGGGGCCTTGGAGAAGGGGCACGAAGGAGGCAGGGCAAGGGTGTTTGGGTTTGAGGTAGATCCTGCATTGCACTTAAATTCAAAAAGTGATCGCGTGCTTAAAAAGGTTGGAGACCCCTGCTCTAGGCACGCGCATGCAGTTAGCCAACTGCCCGATCCTGCGAGACCTCGCTTATCCACTGCTGGTCTAACTCCAAAGCTGCAGCCTCACCCTTCGAGCGTTGCTGCCTTGGGTCCAGTTTGCAGGAAGCACAATTTGCATAAGGACCAGTGCCCCCAATTTCCCAACCAGACACTTTAGACTGGCAAAGGTGGGGGTGCCCAAGGCACCCTTGAGCACCTAGCATCCTGAGCTGATCTCGAGATGCTTCCCAACGTGCACTCCTCTGGGAATAGCATGGGAAGGTTGTACCATTTGAATGTTAACAAGCCTTCCTACGCAAGATACATTTCTGTGAACTATTTATATATAATTGTACTTCTCTACATCTCTGGGGGTGGATGACAGAATCTTATTATGTTACAAATGAGAATGTAAAAAAGACACAGAGAATCTTGTTAGAAAAAGCCTTAAGCAAGTTAGCTTTTATTCCGACCTTTGGCCTGCCTGGTCGGAATGAGGAAGGAGGTTTCAATTTGCATGCGTTCAGTGTCTTTGTAGTTCGAACAAAACATTCAAATCATGACCAATGGATGGTAGATGCCATTTTGTTAGCTCAACGAGACCCAGGCACATTTCAGGACCCCACACTGGAACATTTCATATGCTTGATGAATTTTCAGAGATTGCAAATAATAAATTAATGGCTAAAAATAGATACTGAAAAAGATACAGGATACACCATGTCATACTTTACACAAAGGAAGATCAGTATTTTAAGCTGGGCATTCTACAAACACCAATCCACGTCATAGTAGAAACCTGAGTATACATTTGTAATTTGCCTTTTCCATTCTCTTCCATCTTCTCTCAAGGGTTTCAGTGCCTCTAACACTCATTCTAATAGAGAGGAATGACTGATCATGCTATTTCTATTCCTCCCTGTTCCACACTTGGAATGCCAAGTCTTTAGATTTTAGTGTAAATCTGAGGCAAGCTTGGAAAGTAACTTACTTGTCCTGTGATTTACAAACTGCCACCTCTGGGCCGTGGTTTATATTTTGAAGTCAGGCAATTATACTGAGAAATGTAAGTATAAATTATTCAAGCATAAATTCAAATATATTGACTCCCCCTCCTCCCCCCCTTTTTTTAAACACTAATTCTAGCAACTAAGCCCAGAAAAAATGCAGGGGCACTTTAAGATGTAGGATCAGTTTTTCTAGGACAAACTTATTTGACATTGCACCTGAAAGTATTCTGAATAGCATATTTCCATGCATCAGGAATACCAGTCCCATTAGAAATCTGTGTTTGAACTGTCAGTTCTTAGGGCAAGCAGCATTACAGACTAGAAACGATTCCAACCAGACATACACCTATGCCATGAAACAGCATGCCATGTGTAGTTGTACAGCTTTTAAGGAAAGGGCTCAAAATGGCCAGTGGGTACATACCTTTCTCACTGTTTCTGGATAATTCCTGAAAGAAAAAACATTGGACAAGTGTTATCCTGAAATGATCACACATAACGACTTAGCACATAGTACACATTTACACCCTTCACAGGAAAACTCTGCAACATCAGGTACGGGAAGTCCCTCAGGAGATAGTCTCGTGGTATCTGATGGCACAAAATAAACCTGCCAGGAAGAAGGATTGCTTCAACTGTACAACATTTTGTAAGTCATTTTTTAGGCAGGGGCTGAAATAGGGAAGTAAGCAGCTAGTTGACACCTAATAAGCATATGCCTATCGGGTAGTCGAGTAGTGACTAAACTAGTCACTTCTATTAGAGAGAGCCAGCTGGGGGGGAGCAGGAGCTGGTGCTGGGGGGAGCCAGCTTAAAAACTGGTTCCCCCCAGCACTGTTTCCACGGGGGCAGGGGAGGCAGACGCACAGCGGGGAAATACCGTGAGCAGGGACTGAAGCCGTCCCCACTCGTGCCAGGTACTGATTGCTGCGCCTCTGCCTTTGGAAATGTAGCAAGAGGTCCCCAGGGGCTACATTTCAAAGGCAGAAGTGCAGGAGTCAGAACCAGCGCAAGTGGGGACTGTCTAGTCCCTGCTTGTCCCATGTTCCCGGCTGTGCTTGTGCCTGAGGTGCAGGTGGCTCTTACTACAGAGGCAAGTGCCCCACCTCCCTCTTATCAACTAATCGAAATTTCATCGGCTACTCGATTAGCTGATTAATGGAAATTTAACATTCCTAAGTTGCAAGTCAAAATGATACAAGTGACTACCAAAACTGAAGGCAGCAATGCGGCAAGAAGGTATAGCCATTCCCCGAGTTACGAACTCGGATCCCACAGAGTTCCATGGCAACCGCGCTGTTCATAAGCGCCGATCACCGTTCGTAACTCGGATTCGCATTTACGACCACTTTGGTCGTAAGTGCGGATGTTCGTAAGTGGAGATGGTCGTAACTCGGGGAGCGGCTGTATTCAGACAAACGGCAGAGCCTACGCCTAAGGCACTCCATGTTGGCAGGGATAAGGGGGCAGATAAGGGACGGAACCAGCATGGCTCTGGAGCACGGTACATTTTTGACATAACCAGCATTCTTTGGGGAGTCTGTCTTTTCAAGAATTTATTCTGCTTCAGTTTCAAAAACACAAGGGGAAAAAGAATGAATCACAGCCCCAAGTAAGATACTTAAGGAAATTCAGCTGGCTTTGCATGGTGCTAAAGATTCTTAATGACATTGTACTATAATTTCTACACAAAAATTTTAAACCAGAAATTTCCATTTGTTAACACTGAATACTTCAAATGTCTTTACAAACTAACAAGCTTTGTGTACTTCCAGCTTTGGGCTCTAGTTTTTAAAAAAAAACTAGCAGAGAACCTGGCGCAAGCTGAAAGCTGGAAAACTATAACCTCCTTATCAAGCAAATTAACCTAAAATGGAACAAGTGACAGGAACATCATTATAGGAACCAACCTGATTTTCTGGCATGCTGTTTTATTACACTGAGTAGTGGGGGCAAATGAAGGCAACAGGAAATTTGTATCCCATGATTGGCTCACTTGAAATGGCCTAGGAAATGGGTGGTCTTAGATGGGATTAATGGAATTTTACCAGGCTACTCAAATCATTTACACCAAACACAATACTGACTTGTTTCTGAAATAACTATTAGACCGTAACTTGGCCCTGTTACAGGTTCAACAAGTGCAGGAGCAAGCTGGATACGCCATGCAGAGCCTGTAACTGTATAGATGTTATTTGGCCCTACATTAAAACCCCTACCACAGAAGCTATTTGTCCCATGCATTTACATTGCTCATTTTAAAAAGGACACATTAAAATGCAGGTTTTCGTACCTCCTTACACACGCATCTTACATTAAAGCATCTATTTTACTTTTCCATCATTTTTACCTGTCTCTCTTTAAAACAAGCCTTTGGACCGATTTAGGAAAATCTGAGTGGTCATGCTGAAACAAAAGACAGGACTATGCAGCACTTTAAAGACTAACAAGATAGTTTATTAGGTCATGAGCTTTCGTGGACCAGACCCACTTCCTCAGATCAAATTGTGGAAGAAAATTGGCATGACCATATATACCAAAGGGATACAATCAAAAAAAGTGAACACATATAAAAAGGACAAATCAAATTTCAGAACAGAGGGGGTGAGGGGAGGAAGTTACTGTCTGTGAGCTAATGATATTAGAGGTGATAATTGGGGAAGCTATCTTTGTAACGGGTAGGATAGTTAGCATCTTGGTTAAGGCCCAGTCGTAAAGTGTCAAATTTAAGCATGAATGACAGTTCAGAGGTTTCTCTTTGAAGTCTTGTGTTAAAATGTCTTTGAAGCAGGATGCAGGTAGTCAAGTCGTTGAGACAATGCCCTTTCTGGTTGAAATGGCAAGAAACTTTTTTCTTTGTGAAACTGTCTGATATCTGTTTTGTGTGCATTGATTCTTTGGTGAAGTGTCTGAGACGTTTGTCCAATGTACATAGACAGACATAGTCAGCACATGGTGGCATAAATTATATTTCTGGATGAGCAGGAATATGTGTTCTTGATCTTGTAACTGAACTGGCTAGGTCCAATGATAGTGTCAGCAGAGTAAATATGTGGACAAAGCTGGCACCGGGGTTTGTTGCAAGGGAAAATTCCAGGATTAGTATTAGTGTGATATGTCCTGTGGTTGTTGGTAAGAACCATCCTGAGGTTAGGTGGTTGTCTATAGGAGACTATGGGTCTGTCTC